AGTCCTATTACATCTGTTCCTCTGTCCTCCCAGGTCAATGGCATTTCACTCTCTCATTCTTTACTCCTTTCACAGAGAGTAAAGTATCAGAACTCCTGACCCGTAGCCGTATACTACATTCCCACTGGACCCGATTCCCATGAATCTCCTCCAAGCCATATCGCCTACCGTGGTCCTGGCACCACTCATGTGATAAATACTTCTCTGGCTTTGGGAACATTCCAGATCACTTTCAAAAGGGCTCCGGTTAAACCCTTGCTCTTGTCAGATTGCTCGCAACCCTCATTGAAAATGAATTTCTAGGCGTGTAAATCACTTCCTGTCTGAAAAGACCATAAGACTGCGACTCTGCCTCCTGGTCTCATTTTGGATTGACATGTTGCTGATAAAGCAACATCACTAATCCACGAAACACATAAAAAGCTCAGCGTCTGATTTGAAAAGAGCAGAGGAGCAAAATAGTCTTAGAGAGTCGCCTGGCTGAGGAGGAATTAGAGGTGAATAGTGGTGTTTCCAGACATTTTTAACTAAGGTGGACACAGGTGGGGCACTGACTTGTGCAGGGGTAGCATGAAGTAGCATCCATTCACGCACACACATGCACAAATTGAAATTGAAGATAGACATTACTGTCTCCACAGCACATATCTACTTAATTACGAACATTTCAGTTTCATGCATTACATTCGCAATACTGCCTCAATGCAAGACGGTCAAATCAGGCCTTCTGTCGACAATCAGACTAACATCATCATACAGAAGCGTAAACATGCACTTTTAAAACAACCAGTAGCAGCCATGAACTGCACTGAAAAAGCATAGACTAACTGGTAATAGCGCACCTTCATACACGAAAAACCATAAGAAGTGACAGCGCACTTTCACAATTATGAAAACATGATCCTATTAGTGACAGCGCACACAAGTGAAAATGATTTTAGTCATTGACCACCACATTATTGACAAGCTGTTTCATGTCTGTGCATAAGAATAAACACAAAAGTGAAGTTCAGACTGATTATTATCTCAATATGATGTAGTTCTGTACAACACCACTACAATCATTATAAACCATTTATAAAATGTTTATATAGTGTTGAATATGTTCTGCCTTTTGAAATAATTTTCAAATAGTTTGTTTTTATTAAGCGTTTACATTTATCTGACATTTTTAGCCAAAATGACTTACAATTTCTATATGTGTCAGAGGTTGCACACCTTTGGAGCAACTAGGGGTTAAGTGTCTTGCTTAGGGACACATTGGTGAATTGGTCAAAGTGGGGAATTGAACCCGAGTCTCCACCACCAAAGTCATGTACCCACCCTCATCCCCATATTTCCTCTCTGTTAGAAACACATTTTTAAGTTTTAGTATATTTTGTTTTTTGTAATAAACTGAAAACATCTTTGAGATGTACAAGGAGGGAAGAGTAAAATCTATTCATCAGATTAAATGGTAAATTATCTACTTTTTCTACAGGAACACGTCATCCAAATATGAAAACATCATTTCCAAAAGTGTTCTGGTCCGATCAGGACCTCCTGCTGTCTACCAGCTGAGACCAAAGATAGAGAACATTGGATCTCTAAGAAGAATGACTCTCGGTGAAAGAAATGTGAACAAGATAAACAAAACCATCTTGCTTGTGGGTGAAACAGGAACAGGAAAATCTACTCTGGTCAACGCTCTGGTCAACTACGCCATGGGAGTGAAGTGGGAGGATGATGTCTGGTTTCAGATCGTAGAGGACGAGGAGAGACATCAGGGTGAAAGTCAGACATTAGATGTGATGGTGTACCAGATCTTTGGTTTTGAAGGTGAAACTCTGCCCTACTCTCTGACCATCATCGATACTCCTGGATACGGAGACACCAGAGGAATCAAACAGGATGACATCATCAGTCAAAGATTATTAGACTGGTTCCGCTCAGAGGACGGAGTTCATGAGATGAATGCAGTGGGTCTGGTGGTGAAAGCGAGTGTGAATCGACTGGATGAGCGACTGAGGTACATCTTTGATTCAGTGGTGTCTCTGTTTGGAAAAGACATGGAGAAGAACATTGTTGCTCTCATCACACACTCAGATGGTCTGATACCTGAAAATGCTCTGAAAGCTTTAGAAGAGGCAAGAATTAAATGTGCCAGAAATAAAAAGAATCAGCCTGTTTACTTTATGTTTAATAACCGCCAGGACACAGAGAGAACAACGGAAAACAAGTCAGTTTTAGAGACTGCATGGGAAACATCAATGAGAGGAATGAAGGAATTTCCACCCTTTATGGAAAGATCTGCACCTCAGGAGCTAAAGACAACTGTTGAAGTGTTGAATTCACGAATCAGTCTGACAGCCTGCATCCAAAACCTGAAAGAGAGAGTTGAGTTCACTGAACAAAAACAGAGAGAAAACCAACAGATTCAGGAAGCTCTGAAGAAACATGAAGAAGAGAAGAAGAGAAATGAAGATTCACTGTAGAAGTTGATGAAGTCTACAAAGTTAAAGAAAGTATCAAAGGTGGGAGATGGATGTTCTTTAAAGGAGCTGTCTGCTGTACAGTCTGTGAGGAGAACTGTCACTATCCGTGCCCAATGGCCCGGAGTCCAGGACTCTGTGAGGTCATGAAAGATGGCCGCTGCACTTCATGTACCAGGAAGTGTCCTGTATCAGATCATGTGAAAGAAAAGTGGATCTATGTGACCAAGACAAGGAAAGTTCAGAAGACCCTGCAAGATGTGAAAGAGAAGTATGAAAGAGGTAAAACAGGATGTGAGGAGACAACAAGCCTTTTGGAAACTTTAGAAAAGCAAATGGAAAAACTTCAGACAGAAAAAGATCAGATGTTGGAAAAGTCCTTCAAACATGTTGTCAGACTGGATCAGATCGCCCTGAATGTTGATTCACTGTCCACTCATGTCCACTTGGACTTCCTGATTGAGAAGATGAAGGAGAAAGGAGACGCAGAGAAGGTCCAGAAACTGGAGGAGATGAAGAGTCGAGAGGATGAAGGAACCAGAGCAGGACTGTGGTACAGACTAACAGCAGCTAAAGAAGCAGCTAAAGAAAAAAAGAAGTACGTAAACACCCGTCTGATTCTTTGAACATCTAAGTTACTTTACATCATAATTATACTATTAAATATACAGTTTATCTAATAACATTATTAGAAAACAGACATTTGAACACCTTCTAAATGTCTCGTTGTGGGAAGCAACGTCCTCTCGGGTATGTGATGACTGACAGGTGCACATCTGCACGTCAGTAACCAGGTTGTCGGCTTTCTCTATAAATCTTTTTAATTTTATTTTACCTTTAACCAGAAAGAAACTCAATGAGATTAAAAATCTCTTTTCCAAGAGTGTCCTGGCCAAGACAGGCAGCAGCACAATGAACAGGGTTGCAGACATTAAAACATGTAACATAACGTAAAACATACAACAATTTACAATGGGAATAAGTAATAAGTTACAAGGTCATAAAATATCAAACTTTCATAAATATTTACCACAAGTAATAAACAACAAGGATCATCAGAGTAATCAGTCATAACATCTACAGCCAGAATTGCCAGCCTCCATGTCATTTAAAAGTACTTTGAAAGCAACCAGTGAAACCGGCTCCTGAAGATTCAGGACAGTTTGCGGCTGATTCCAAGCACAGGCTTTGAATGGATGCACGCATGTATATAACATAATAGTCCAGCATGAAAGTGGCAGCAACAAGTCTCCTTTTGTTAAATTTTGTAAAAACAGAAATGTAACAGAAAACGAAGTGCTATTTGCTGTGTATGTTTCTAAAAGCTAGGGAGGGATTTGTTGCAAATACTGATTGGCGTGTAGCCAGTAGTTGAATGTGGTTACCACCCCACCCCATCATGCAGACTCTGTGCAGACTGATTCCAGCTCCCAGTGAGTGAAAAAGGCAGCCGGACCCGGGACCGAGCACAGCCTCCGAGACCGACAGAGGCCAGTCTGACCACTGGGAATGCAGTACGATGGTGTTTTTCTTGCCGGTTTGTTTCTTGTCAACTAACGAGGCTGTGTTCGGTCCTGTTCACACCGTGTTCACTTGGAGGCTGCTGATCGCTGTTTCGTTGCTCACTCTCCTGGTGCTGCTCTCCGCAATCATTCCCCACCCCCGGCCTGAAAACCTCCAGTACCTTGAGTACCAGTAAATAAATGTTTAGTAACCTGAACATACACTCCTGTGTTCTGAGTTCCCAGTACGGGCAGAGTAAGCCAATTTGAACAGGAGCTGCAGGCTAACTGAGCTAATTAGATAATGGCAGCTAGTTAGCAGCAGTTAGCTGACTTGCTACAGCAACAAGTAAAGCTGTGTGTCCATCAGGGAAATCCCAGAGTTGAGGCAGAGCGGCCAGGAAACATCAGAGAGAAAACCAGAAAATATCTTCCATTAAATATGATCCAGTTTCAGTAAAATCAGTGAATAAAGTTGTGCTTTTGTACAGTAATCAGCGGTGCCCGTCCCAGAAACACTATTTCTCAGCAGTGTCATGAAAATTAAGAAAGCTTTTGATTGGACACTAAATTAATCCAGGCCCCCCAGAGCAGGATGATTCATCAACATTTTAAAATTGTTTTCCAGGAAATGACACACATTAAATTGTAATTAAGAATACCTACTTAACAACATTTTCTGTCATTGATGGGCCAGATTCTGCCATGTGACATATAGGCCCAGTGCAAGGCATCACATTTAAAAACATTTACATTTTTATTTCATGGGAATGGGATATTTTATAATTGTTTCTCTAAAAATACACTGAGCGGAGCATCTTTGATGCTCTCGTCTTCATTTGCGTATTTGGTATTGAAGTAATTCAAAAGTAACTAAAAGTAATTAGGTTACATTACTTTTATTTTGTGGTACGTGGATTACATTACTGATTACATTTTTTAACAAGTAATTAGTAATTGTACCGGATTACATTTTGAAAGTAATGCTTCCAACCCTGCCGATCACAGAGTAAAAGGGAACCACCAAATTATTATTGAATATTGAGAAAGAGGACCATATTAAGGATTAACACTGTTCCCGTACAGCTGGGTAGAAAGTTAGCTAGCATTAGCTAACTCACATTACATTAGGAACAATTCACAGCCTACATTTCTGGGGATTTGTTTTAGGTTTTGGAAGGGGAATAAATCGTACTTCTCCTTTCAGCCTCTCTGGGTAGCGACTGTAATTATTACAAGTGCCCCAGAACAGTGTTTGACCATATCTTGGAAAAATGCAGCAAAAAAAAAAGCTAGAAAAGAACTCCTTTTGCATTAGATTCAATGGAGCGCAGCCACGAAAGTGTCAGACCTCAGTTAGAGTGCCATCTATACTGCACTGTGATTGGTCAGCTATGTATATGTGGTGTGGCTTAGCGAAGGGTAAATTGATATTACATATTATATTGTATCCTTTAAATGTATAGCGTTGTGTTTCTTCTGATCCACCCCTCTGTTTTATGTGTCCCAACTGATTGGGACAGAAGAAATACAGTGCAACTTAAACACCAAGTCCATTTGTTCAAATTGCACCTTGTATTATTAGAACACACGTGAGTTTTCACAACAAAAGAAATGTTTCATTCTTTCCACTACTTTGCATTTTGTACTGTACTTGCATAACATACTCAAGAATGTAGGAATTAAGGTTTCTTAACACCCAGTGCCTGCAAAACAAATGCTTTCTCTGGAGAGTGGGTTGACCAAGGACAAATTTCCGGCCAATTGTTTTTGTTGCAGTTTCAATGCATTGTGTTCACAACCTCAACAAGATCAATGATCTCGGTCTCCTACAGATTTGCAGTCGAGGTGTTTCAATCGGTTGTTAAAGTGGAAGGTAAAATGCCTGTTGATGACGCTCTCTCTCTCTGTGACTGTAGAAACACTGGATATAAAGTTGGTTTTACTCCAGGTAAAGATGGCAGACAGGAAACACCACTGAGATCAAGAAAAAATTCCTTTCACGATCTAGAAGGATCATTTGATTGCGAACTTTGAAAGGTTAATCAGCAATTTGTGCTTCTTTCAGTCATGTGTCATTTTGTTTTCATTCGTTGATAAAATGTGAAACATATTTTCATAGTTGACAGTTGAAATGTTTCTTTATTTTTACCTTTTAAGGAATTATCTTATAAGAATATATATCTTTAAGTAAAATTGCTGAATACATTGCTAAGGTCATCTTATAAACTTATGTATCTGTGTAGTTGCTAAAACACATTGCATTATCATACAAAGAAGATCATGATGTTTACAACACCTCTAACTATTCATTAATCAAAATAAGAATACGTTAAAGCCTGCACCCAGGGTACTACATTTGGTGACATGGATGTTTGATCTCTAGCATCATATAAATGTAGTGCTTTGAGGGCAAAAGTTAAGGCAAAGTAGTAAATGAACAGGTGCTATCTTGCACTTTTAAAAGACGTCATTCTGCGTAGATCAGCTTACGTGTTAACTTGCTGGTGATATCACGTTTGCACACATTATTACTCAAACAAACCTTCAGTAAATCTGACCCTATGAGTATAAAGTAACCTGTTTCTTCACTGGCTCTTTGTCTTCCACTCTGTAGACTGGTTGAACTCTGTATGTTTGTCTGACCCTTGCAAAGAATAAAACCCTTAAAAGACGTCTGGATTGAATTCTTTAATTTAGAAGACTCACTGAGCAGACAGATGTAATTTCTCATATGAAATGTGTGTGAGTCAATTGGAATTGGCTACGAAATAATAAATACCTAAAACTGGCCTTGAAAGTTAAGAGCAGGGTCAGCCAGAAAAACAAGACAATAGAGCGTCTAAGTTAAATCAGAAGCTAAAAGTGTTCCGCTGGATAGTTTCCTCTGTCCTGCCAAGTCAAGTTTATAACTACAGCTTTTTTGTTGTGCTGCTTTTGCTTTTGTCTGTTAACAGACTCCAGCCTGCAGTAAACCAAAGAGCTGCAGGAGAACATTGGGTTTCATGATCAAAGTTATTATTTCACGTCCATACTTCTGTGAGTCTGCATTTCAATCAGTCAACTTGTAGTTTTGATAATGCGCCATTTATCCACCATTATAATAGCAATGTGCCAAAGAACAAGCACACCTGGCTTTTAAAGGAATTGGGAAATAGTTTTATTATTGCATGGAACTCCCAAAACACACCCATGAATTCACAGACAGAAGTACAACCATTTGAGCCATGCTCCTGGCGTACTGACCATTCTTGCCATTGTTAAACTAGCAAAATTGGAGTTTGACACACCTCAAATGCAACAGCGCCATGCACTCCACCTATGCACTTAGATAGTTAAAATAGGGCCCACTGTGTTAATCTGTAGAGTGGACCTGGACACTGTTAACAGTTCTGGTTTAAAGAAGTGAGGAAACAACTGCTGAGTACACAGCTGTTGATCCTTTATGTTGAGCTTTAGTTACATGAAAGCATCCTGAGTGCTGCAGCTTCCTGTGAGCTTCATGAAATCAGTTTGCTCAGAGTGTCTTCACTG